GGACAGGGAGCCATTCAAAATCAAATTCCAAATCAGTTTGGTGACTCACATTTCCCAACAGTCAAAACCAACAAATAATGAGTCAATCCCCCTTCACCATCTCATCTGAGGCCCATTCTTCCAGCAGTTTTACTCTACAGTGAGCACGAAGTGGGTGACAAATTCAAGCAGTGCCTTTGATCAGGAAGGGCACACGCTGGTCTAACCCAAACACACAGAAACCAGGTCAGTTGTTGTTTCCAGAGCTTGGGAAGTTCAGATACCCCCAGGTACTGTGGGACAACAGCTCCTTCAGCACAACAACTGGACTCCTCTGCTCCTAAAAATACAATTATCAGACAAAGCTTGTTTGCTCAGGAACTTTGCTGACGCAAGTCCAAGATCAAAACATTCCTGGTTCAGAGGACAGAGATGTATCAGTCTCCAAAATCCAGCCATGACACCCCCCAAGGTGCCTGGGACACTCTTAGAAACACACATCGATTTATTACTGCTTAGTAATGTACATTTTGGGGGAATAATGAAATGTTCTGGTTGCTTGAACGTGTTGAGAAGGAACTCTGAAAATTCCCTGTCAGCAAAACAGGGAAAAGTTTATTCTCGCTTGAAGCTGCTATTTAAAAGTAATATTAAAATGAAATAAGTAAGGGCAGACACTTGGATGTTGAGTGCATTCCCTGTCCCCTCCTTAACCAGCACTTGCATCTTCTGGCCTGAGAACCGAGACACGGGGAGATTCAGATCATTGAATCTCTAATTACAAACTCATTAAAATACTAGTTTTACAGTTACCTCGAGCCCAGCCATTCCCCAGCAATCAAACGGAGCTGCGGGATGGGAACACAGAGCCTTTCATCCCAGGAGGGAGACACCCAAACCTTGGAGGAGCTTCGGGAGCCCCCGGGCACAGCCTGGTGGCCAATCCATCCTTCCCAAAGCCACCAAAGCCCAGCCCTGCCCCGGGGCCAAGGGGACAGCCACAGCTCCCAGGGTGACACACTGCTGACAACAGCGGGGACCACAAAACCCAAACTCCGGGAGCCGTGTGGAGAATTCCCAAAACACCTTCCCGGCCGAGATGAACTCGAGTGGAAGGGATGGAATTCCAACAGGAGCTACGAGTGCAGCTCTCCCTCCTCCTCTCTTTCCCCACCGAGTGCCAGCGATGTCTCAACACCCCAAGTGCCTTTCCAAGGAAGTAGCTCTGCTCCTTTCCGGGCCAAATTACCATGGCAAGAAATCCCCGTGTAGATTCATCTCCAACAGAAAAACATCCAGGCGGCAAACATTTCCTTCCCACAACCTGAAAACAGCCAAATATCATCAGGTTTCTTTCCTGCCATCAAAGAAACCCTGTCTTGAGACAGCTCGTAACAAGTAAAAACATTTGCCCATAAAGCAAATGTGCTCCCCAAGCACTGACAGAAATATTTCATGCACCCCACGAAGCTGCCTGTGCCTGAACACACTTCACCCCCGGGAAGGCTGGAGAACACAGCAAGAACTTTCATTTGTAATGATTTATTTTATCCTGCCTTCAGTGCATCAGGATGCTTGTCTCTTACTCATCCTGTCTGTCAATATTGTCTTCCTGCAGCTTTTAAGTAAAATAACCCCCATGGTAACTGTCGTCAGGCCATGTCATGACCACTGAGGCCTCATAAATAACACTTGATATAAATAGATTTTCCAGCAACATGTAAACCATCAGCTCCAATGGAAGTAGAAAGATTGTGTGCAACCATCTGCATGTTGTCCTGTAAGGATAAACACATAAAGAAGTGTTTGGAAGCAAAATAAATCTCTTGAAGAAATGACCCTAACAGAAACCTCTGGGGCATGAGATTTCTTACATGACTCACACAAAGACACTGACAGGAGCAGCTACAGCAGAACAAGAACTTCCTGGGAAGAAACCCTTCCCTGGGAGGGAGCAGAGGCCCTGGCACAGGGTGCCCAGAGCAGCTGGGGCTGCCCTGGATCCCTGAAGAGTCCAAGGCCAGCCTGGACAGTGCAAGGAGTCCCTGCCCATGGCACGGGGTGGGCTTTGAGGTCCCTTCCCTCCCAAACCACTCCAGGATTGTGTCACCTTCCAAATGACACCAGCTGGCGGTGGGAGCAGCTCGCAGGGGTGCCAGCTGCCTTCCCCTGCCCTCAGGATCAGGAGAGGTTTAATCCTGAGGGCAGCTCAGCAGCCACTCCTGCAGGAATCCATACGGACAATGCCCGCAGTTTCACCCATTTTCCTTTCAATGGTCTGCAATCAACTTCCACAACACAGCAAAGCCACGTCAGAGCCCTCGGGACACCCCTGCACGCTGAGGAAGTTGGCACATTTGGCTACATCAGGAAGAAATAAACCCCCAAGCATAGGGACAGAATGAAAGACAAAAGGCTCGGTTTAATTTTAAATAAGCATTTGAAATAGGAGCTGCATGCAGATGCAGCATTTTTTACAGGTTCTTCTAAACAAGTCTGGGGGAAATCCACAGTCAAAGTTTTCTGTCAGGAAAGAAAACAATCCTCCAAAACTGCCATTATCTCAAGCTTCCCCTGAAAAAGTCTCCAACCAAGTAATACCAACAAAGAAATGATTTCTATTTCTCCACTGGAATTCAACTCCCTGTCAGACAACCTTGAGATAGAAATTCTCATACTAGCAAGGTTTAAATCCACCCACACAGCACCCAGTGTGGACTTAGGGAGCTACACTCAGGTCTGCCTGGGCCCAGGGGGGGCAAAGAGCACAAAAATTCCCCAAACAGATCTGAATGCCATAGGAACACGAGGCTTTTGTGGGCAAACCCCTGACTGGGGACACTGCCAGGGGGTGAGGGATGGGACCTGCTCAAATTGCTGCTGTCACCCAAGGAAACACCCATCAACCTGCAGCCCAAATCCTGCCACTGCCTGAGGAGCTGCCTCTCCTCCAAATCCTTGGATTTGCTTCCATGCAAATGCTGAAGAAGCAACAGGCTTCTGAGAAGCTCTGAGAAGCTGATTCCCATCCTGCTCCTTCCATCTGCCGAGGGCTGTGTGCTTCCAGAGAGTTCAGCACAGCTAAGCCTGGCTCAGGGCAGGGCTTACAGCCCACAGCCACACTGGGATGGATCTTAGTTAAGCCACAGCAGGAGCACAACCCACCCCTGAGAACCCCAGCGTGACCTCCTCTCGTCCCCAGGGCTCTGACACGACATCTTCAGGTCCTCTTCACCTCTTGACTAAACCAAAGGCTCGTTTAAATCCATGATAAAAATCTCAGGGCTTGTTTAACCTCCTTGCTAGCCCAAGGTTGAATTTGTTTCAGTGCATCTCCATGTTAACGCTGCTCTAATTTCAAGGTATCTGGATCATGACTGGGAGCCAGGAGTAGGGGTACAAGAGCTCATCAACTAATCCAATTGTTCCACACATCTCAAGGATTATTTTCCAGTTTGCTAACCTGAGCTACTTGTTGCAATAATCCTTTATCTACACTGAAATCACCTGGCAGATAAGGTGTGCAATTAAGCCTGGCTCTGGCATCAGCTGCTCATCACTCCAGCGTTTGTTCTGCTTCTCCACTTCTTTTTACAGCCTGCATCAAACTCCACCTGCCAGGAAAACCACTACCCAAACCAGCTCTTTTTTCAAGCTTAAACTGGGTAACTTAAAGCCTGCTCAAGCCTGGCAGCACTACACTGCAGTGAGGACACACACACATATTAAGCTCCCTACGAATGCAGAGCATTTGGTGTTTTTATTGAAAATTAAAGCTCATCAGCAACAAGGAGTCTGGCATTTACCTGGCACTGAACTCACACCAAGAGTCAGCTGCGTGTGGGAAATGACAAGGCGGAAAAGATGAACAGGCCAGGTCTTTACCTTGTCTGAAACACCTCGGGGGATTTCCTTCCCTGCCAGAATCTTCCAGCGGCTCTGCTGCTGCCTTTGGGCTCAGCCCAGCCCGCACTCACCTGGCCAGGAGAGCCCCAAACCGCCTCAAGGGCTGCTCTTCCCTGCCTACAAAATGACAACGACGGCTCCAAAATGAAGGGATGGAATAAAACTGTAAAGCCTCTGCCTCATTCCCAGCCTTTATGAAAAAAAAAAAGGCAAAAGGCACCAACAACAGGAATGTATGATAGTGGTTAGTCCTTATTCTAGGAACCCTAACAGGCTTGCAACAAGCTTTGTTCAGGCATTTTTCTGCACTACGTACATCACTTCTTTCTACCCAAAATGTACCTTAAAACAAAAGAAAACCACACAGGATATCGAACGGGGCTTGCAAGTTAAAACCAGAAAATTTAAATATTTGCTTCCTCGATGTGCGCTGAAAAATAAAAAGGCAAATAAATAATTTTTTTAAAAGGGGGGAAAAAAAGCTTTAAAGCGTATCACGAGAACGGGATCAAGGAAGAGCGAGGCCACCCCTTCAGGACCAGGGGAGAATTAACCTGCATTTCTCCATCCCATCTGCAAGCTTACGGCTCTGCCACCCATTTTGTCTCAGATTAAAGAGGAGAAAAAAAAATTAAAAAAAAAAATAATTACCTCAGCGGCACAGAAACAAGACCCCACCCCGGGATGGATGCCCGAGCGGTGCTGCCGGCCGGGCAGGTGACCCCGCCGCAGGTGCCACCCCGGGCATCCCCCGCGCCCCTTCCCCATCCCCTGGAGACGCTGCCGAGCCAGCAAACGCCGGCGCGGAGCCCGGGGAAGGCTTTATTTAACCCGCAAACGCGAAATGAAAGGCAGAGGAGGAGCGCAGAGGTGCGGACGGCGCGGCAGCCGCGCGGCCAAGGTGAACCGCGGCCGGCTAACATGGTGGAGGCTGAGGGGAGCCGCGACCCTCCGGCCGGCGGCAGCGAGGGCCGAGCCGCGGGGATGCGGAGCTGACAGCGGGCGGGCGGTGAGGGGCGGAAAGCGCTGAAGGGAGAGCGCTGAGGGGAGAGCGCGGCGGGGAAGCGCTCCCTCAGGGCTGCTCCCTCAGGGCGGGAGCGGGAGGACGGGCTCACCTGCCATGGCGGGCTGAGGGCGGCAATGGCGCTGGGGGCTGCGGCTCCGCTCCCCTCGGTCTCCGCGGCGAGTGCGGCGGGGCCGGGCGGCCCCGGCAGGCAGAGCACGGGGCGGGACGGGTGTTTCCTCCGCCCCCGACAAGATGGCGCGGCCCCGGCCCCGCTCCCTCAGGGCTCGGCCGCCATGGCGGCTCTGGAGGTCGGTAGGGGGAAACAGCCGCGTGTTCGCTGAGGGTGAGAAGCCTCCAGCTGCAGGGATGTGTGAAGGGTTTATGCGTGAAGGACACAAATGGCAGAGTCACGGGATGGGGCGGGTTGAAGGGGCTGCAGTGGGGTATCTGGTCCAACCTCTCTGCTCAGGAAGGGGCATCCCAGAGCACATGGCTCGGAATTGTGTCCAGACGGGTTTGGAATATCCCTGGTGGGGGACATTCCACAGCCTGTCTGGGCAATGGGGCATTGAGCGGGCTCCCCAGGGAATGGTCATGGCCTCAGGGATGGCAGAGCTCCAGGAGGGTTGGGACAAGGCTCTCGGGGGAGATTGTTGGGATGCGCTGTGCAAGGCTGAGAGTTGGATCAGGGGGTCCCTTCCGAATCAGGGATTGTGTAACTCTTATTCCCGTTCTAGGAATCAGTGCTTGGTCACCCACACAGCCAAGTTCTTCCTCATGTTCAGGTAAAACATTCCGTGCCTCAGTTTCTGCCCATTGCCTCTTGTCCTGCTGCTGGGCCCCAGGGAGCAGAGCCTGCTCCATCTCTGACACCTCCCTGCAGATATTGATGGATATCGATGGATATCGATGGATATTGATGGATTTTGATGAGGTCCCCAAACAAACCCCCTCGTCTGGGGGTTCCTCTCCAGGCCCTGGTGCTCGCCTGGTGCCTCCAGCCCTGGCCCTCTTGGGGTTTTGCTTTGGGGTTTCTTTTTGGATTTTTTTTTTTTTTTTAATTATTATCTTTTAGGAAAAATCCAACTTTTACAATAGGAGAGTGAGTTTAGGGAGGAACAAAAGAATCAGAGAATCATTTAGGTGTGAAAAGACCTCTGAGGTCGAGCTCAGCCTGTGCCAAATCATCACCATCCCAAGCAGACCAGAGCACTCAGTGCCACATCCTTAAACCTCTCCAACCTCTCCAGGGTCAGTAACTCCACCACCTCCCTGGGCAGCCCATTCCAATGTCTAATCACCCTTTCTGTGAAGAAATTCCTCCTGATGGCCAACCTAAACCTCCTCTGTTGTACTAGAGGAGGCTGAGTCCCCCAAAATGACACCTCCACCGCATCTGCAAACTCCGTTTTTCCGAGATTTCCATTTTTCTGTTGGGGGCCAGGACCACTGTGACACAAATGTGACACAGATGTGACAAACCCCCTCCCAGCCCACAGAGCTGGGTGTTCTCAGGCACTGCTGACGTCTGCAGCTCCGGTACCCAGCTCTGGACTCTGCCTCTCTCACGTCCCTCTCGGCAACATCTGACATCCCTAATGGCTCCTGACAGCGTTAACTCGCTCTAATTTGTGTCCTGCCCTTCCCAGAACGTGCAGTTCTCAGACACATCAGCTCCTGGCTCCTTCCCTTGCTCGGGGCTGTCTGGGCTGAGCCCCTCAGCTGATTCCTGCCCTTTCTCCTTGCACTCCTTGAGGAGATATTGACCCGTGCTGGGCTTTCTCCCCCAGCCCAGCTGTTGTTTAATCAAGGTGCAGCCCCGTGTCGATGGCAAAGTGCTCCCCAGCTGGACCCTGGTTCACCCAGACCTGCAGTTCTCTGTTGATCTTCTGGCTCCTTGCTGTTTGTGCAGTGTTTGGCAGGCAGGAATGCTGGCAGGGTGTTTGTTCACCAGCTGTCCCACCCCCCCACCAAGAGGGTTTCATCCGATCCCATTAAAACCCAGGAGCTTACTTTAAGACCAGAGACCCTAGGAGGCCTCTGGAGCATTTGTGCTTATCCTCCCATATTTATTTTTTTTTTCCACATTCACTGCAACACTCTCCTGGTTAAGCTTCTAAAAGGTTTTTCCAGTGAGACATATGGAGAACTATAGAGGGCAGGGCTGAGCCTTGATTATGGATATCGACCCTGGGAATTATTCAATACCTGGCCTTATCCCAAATGTAGGCACAGGCTTCAGTGCAGCTTTTAAACGTTAAAAGCATTTGTTTGTCAGGGTGGGGAGGTGACAGGAGGGACATTTTAGTGATGCCAGGTTGATGGAGGATGCAGCAGTTGTGCTGTTGACAGGAGTTTGTGTGTGCTCAGGATCAGGGACAGAGACACAGCTCTATTTTATATTGGATTGTTATCATTTTCCAACCTGCTCTACCCGGGTGAAAGGTGGCAGGGGGAAATACAGCGAGAGAAAACACATCAGTCAGCTTGGAAAGTAACAGATAAAGACCTCAGGGTCCTGATAATCCCAAGGGCAAGCTGGGGAAGGATGATGAAGATATATTTAGTGTTCCAAGAATTGAATTTGACACAGCTAGACCCCCTGGAACCATGGGCTCAAACCCAGTAAAGCCTTTTTCAATCCTTTTCCCTCTTAAATTGGTACATTCCCTTCCTGGTGGCCTCCTGTGCTGCAAAGTTTGAGCAAATTCCCTGGCATTTCCCTTCTTCAGGGAGTCAAAGCCCTTTTTATGCCATCACTGTCCTGCTACAGAAGCAGAAACTTTACTGGGATTATTGGCTTATATAATTTGTGTTACTAAAATGTAGTGAAGAACCCTGAGGTTTTTATTTAAACATTCAATCCCTCTCTGCTTGAGTGATTCACAGATAAAAGCTGGAAGAATTGGAGCCATGGGATGTGCACGTCCTTCCTGACCACGCAGCAGGAGAAATTAGCATCATCAATCATTTGGTGTGCTTTGAGATCCAAAAGGAGACACATTCCCTTTGTTTTCTCCATCTTGGAGAAAGTCTGGATTACCTGAGCTCCTCAGAGCTCACTCAGGGATGTACCTGAACAGGTAGGGAGGTGTTGCTGCACCCTGTCACCAGCCAGTCCAAGGAAGCTTTACTGGGGACATTCCCCAGCTTTATTTGGGTTGTTTCTTCGTGTCTCTGTGTGGATCAAAGGACAGGGCTGCAGGTCAGGGTTTTCCTCAGATGCAGCACAAACGTTACTGGCATAAATTTCAAGGCTGAAATGTTTTTGGCTGGTGTCTCTTACTCAAAATTTCCATTTTAACCCCAAGCGTTGTCTCGGCTGGGATGTGAATCATTGATCTGAGCACAGGATGTCCAAAAGACCAAATCAAAATTTCACATCCAGGGATGGTATCTGGTGAATGGCATCCTCACCCTTGGCAGGGGAATTGAGATGGTCCCTTCCAATGGACCCAAACCATCCCCTGATCCTGTAATTGCTTTGGGTCTGGGATCCTTAGCTCATTTTCAACCTTGTTTTCTTGGCGTGGCTTGAGTTTAGTTTTTATAACATAAAAAAAGAAAATTAAAAAAAAAATACCCTGCCTTGCATTAGATGAATGACATCCTGTGTGAATCCCACAGATGCAGTCCAGCAATTAATAAGAACCCAGCACTCCTGTGTGTGGATAACAGGGATATCTTCCACTGGATTACACAAAATAAAAATGAAACCCCTGCTACTTCAACAGCAGCTTAGGAGGTGAGTGGAGACTCCCCCAAATAAGCCCAAAAAAAGTTAACAACTCACCAACAGTGGTTTTTTTTTTGCTTCTCCCTCTGGAATATGGAATAGTACCTGAGGGGAAGAGCTGGGTTTCACTCTGTGAGGTGAGGAAAGCAAGTGTGAGCAGCCCTTGCTTGAAATGCCACCTCCACCAGCTGGTGGGAAACTCCCGACCCACAGGAATTTTGTCTTTACCTCGGGGACTTGCTGTTGCCCTCAATGTCAGATGGAAATTTCTTTCTCAGAAAAAAAGTGTTTCTTGCTCAGAACCGAGATGGGCTCTGCCAGCCCGGCTCAACCCCCTGGTTTTTCCACCTGCAAAATGGAGAATTTTTACGAAGTTTAATTAGTGCAAAGTGCTCTCGGTAGCAAAGAGCTTTCGGTCCGAGCATCTCGGGCCAAGTTCTCAAATTACAAAGCTGCAGGCCCACGCGGCAGAGCCCCTGCTGTGCCGGGGGATCTGCAGGGCTGAATTCGTGTGTGAATGAACCAGGAGGTGAGCAGGACAGATCTGCGGGGCTGCAGGACTCCTGGGTCCCTGCTGGTGCTCGCACGGTGGCTTCCCCTCTTTTGGCAGCTTTTGGAAAGAGGAGACGTTCCCTCAGCTTTGGGTTTGCAAAATGTTTTGGAAAGAGGAGACGTTCCTTCAGCTTTGGGTTTGCAAAATGTTTTGGAAAGAGGAGACGTTCCTTCAGCTTTGGGTTTGCAAAATGTTTTGGAAAGAGGCAACCAGGAGAGTGCAACAACCAGGAGAGTACAAACAACCAGGAGAGTGCAAACAACCAGGAGAGTGCAACAACCCATCCCAGGTCCCTCTTCTTCTCCCACGGGATATTCATCCCAAGCTGTCAGGCAGCCAGGGCAGGGAGAGTGCTCCAGAGTGCTCCCAGCGTTGCTAACTCAGCTGGACAGCCTGTGCTCTGCAGGGGAAGGCAATTTTCTTGCTGCTGTCGAGTCTGCTGCCTGGGGGCTGTACCAAAGCAATGAGTTTTCACTTGCTGAGTCAGGGGCAGTGCCCGTGTTTGACAGGAGGAGGAGGAGATGGGCTGAGTCACCTCTCCGAGTTCATCCCCAGGCTGCTTCCCGAAAGCACAGCTCCTGGAATGAGCCCGTAAATCCTGGGAGGAGTGGGAGCAGGAGGGGGCCAGGAGAGCAGCCCGTGTTTGTCCTGCCTGCTGTGTTCTCCTGCAGGGCTCTCCTTGTCCAAACGCTGACTCTCTGCAGCCACATCTGGCTCTGAGGCGTTGTGGCAGCAGACTGGGGCTGGTGGCTCCTGATGGTTTTGCTCTCCTGGGCACACTCACCCTGGAGTTCTGTTCCATTAGATCTTCTCCCCATCAGATCAACCCTGAGGCATCTGCAGGGATGGTCTCCAAAGGGGAGCCAAGCTGGGATTTGTCACCTTGTGTCTCATTCACGTGGGGCTGTTCAGAGCTCTGGGAATAAAGAGCAGCTGCTGTGGGCAGATAACAGGACAGAGCAGCTCATTCCCACTTAAACTACTTCCAAAATGAGCTGGACATGGTGCACTAAATCATTTTGAAGTCCATTAGGGGAATTTTATAGCACAGAATAAAAGAGGTGCTTCACTGTGCACAGCACAGGCAGCAGTGCCTGGTGGCTGCTTACTCATCCCCCAGCAGAGGAGTGAGAGCAGACACAGCCTCTGCTTTCACCCCCTGGCAAGGCATTCCTCAGGGAGGAAGGATGGAGGGCTTGGGCCACTTTTACCCCGTGACTCACTCGTGTGAGCACATGGTGACATCAGGAGTGACACAGACACACCAGCCTCCTGCAGCCAAGGGCACGAGGCAAAATAAACAAAGGTGCCGAGGCATGAATTAGACCACGAGCCCTCTACAAAGCAGCTGCTGCAACTGAGCTGCCCAAATCCCACTGGGCAGACACAGGAGTGGTCACACTCACAGAGGAAAGGCAGAACTCCCAGAGGCAGAGGGAGAACCGAGCCCACAGCAGAGCTCCAGGGGCAGGGCAGGCTCTGGGACTGACTGTGGGGGCTCGCTGCAGCTCCTCCTTGCCCTGACAGCTGGAGCAAAGCTTGTCACAAGGGAGTGCAGAGTGGCAATTATAGCAGCACGGATGCCACAGGGCTGGCCAGGCTCTCTATTTATAGCTGCCAGCCAGCACAGCTCTCCCTCTGTGCTCCTGCTCACAGGTGAGGGCACAGGCCATGCCCTGGAAGGGTCACAGGCCATGCCCTGGAAGGCTCACAGGCCATGCCCTGGAAGGCTCACAGGCCATGCCCTGGAAGGCTCACAGGCCATGCCCTGGAAGGTTCACAGGCCATGCCCTGGAAGGTTCACAGGCCATGCCCTGGAAGGCTCACAGGCCAAGCAAAAACAGAGGAAGGACTAGCAACCCCTTTGATGAGAGCCAAGAATCACCGATGAAAGGACAAAACAGAAATCCACAGAGAGCCTGGAACAATGAACTGTAACTTCTCCCCCCAAAACCGCCCTGTAGCTGGTTAACCCCTTCCCTGCCTGGAGTGCCACCTCTCTGCTCTTCCTAATTGGTGCCAAGCAGTGTCACTGAAGTGTTCTGCGAGCTCTGGCCCCTCGGATTGTTTCCAGCAGGGGTGGCAGAAGGGCTGTGGGCCTGCCTGGCCCTCTGCAGCCGTGGGCCTGTGGCCAGGGTGGCAGGCAGCAGCCCAGGAGAGCCCCCAGACACCGCCCCTGCCCCAGGGATGATCCATCCCGAGGGAGCCTCTGCCAGCTCAGGGTGGCAGCTGACCATGGATCCAAGTCACAGAGTTGTCTTTGTTTCATGGGGAGGATTAAACCACGACCTGCTTGTGAGCTGAACTTTGAAGTGTCTCCTCAGTGATCTGAAACTCGATCATGCAACAAAGAGAGACCTCCACAAATACTCTTTTTGTGTTTGAAGCTGGAGACCATCCACTGGTTTATTTTTAGGCACACATTTGCACTGGCCCTGTTACAATCCTGCCTCTGTTCTTGTGCAATAAAAGCAGAGAGGATTCTCTTGACCTCCAGTATCAAATACAGAGAAAATAAGGCATTTGTCTGGAAAAGAACCACCCAAAATAGCAGGGAAGGGGTCATGCTGTGCTATGGACTGTTAGTGTTGAGAGACAAGAAAAATGAGGATTATAGGTGCTGGCAGAGGACTTCTAATGACACATTAATGAAAACTGCTAGAAAATTGTATGCTGATGCTAATTAGTATTTGTAGGTTTAAGGACCTGAGATCTTTCCCTTTTACACTAAACATTTGCCTGAGAATAAGAAATAATCCCTGCTGAGGTGAGTTCTCAGTTTTCTTTAAGGGTTTGTTCTAGATCCTGAGCATTTCCTTTGCTACCCACAGCTTTAACTCAGAAACTGAGGCTCCTGCATGACCCAGCTGATGTTCCCTAAACTCCTCACAGCCCCTCCTCAGCCTTTGCAACACCCTGGTGCAGACAATTATCACTACATGCATTTTCTGCCTTGCCCTTCCTTGAAGAAGCTGGGGAAAGAGCCCAGAGGACCTGAGTGGATGTTGAATTTCTGTCACATCAGCAGGGCCAGCTGCACCAGGCATCTCCCACTGACAAGAGAAGGAAGGTTAAAACCTCTCATGACAGGTTAACAGCATGATTTGCAGCAACAGCTTAAATAAATGGTTGCAGGCACGAAAGAGTAGCAGGCAGCTAATCCTTTAAAGACTTAAGAGCAGCTACTACTTCAGCCCAAGTAAATATTTCAAAACAAAATTAATTAGTGGTGACTAGTGGATTTGCTGCCCTTTGCTTTAACAGCCCAGGGTGAAGTGGTGATTCCTCCACAGAATTTTTGCTTCAGTGCCAAACCTGCTGTTTCACAGGAGCTGAAAGTCCTCTCAAAGAAGGTTCATCACGGTTCTGTTCCAAAGCTCTGCAGGATCTCATGGCTGTGTGTTGTGTGGGAGGGGAGGTCCCTTTGTGCTGCCTCAGAATCCAGCCCAGTGCAGGAAGGAAATGTCACTTCCTGATTCTTATCAGAAGAAAGCTCTGTCCAGGCCACAGAACAGCTCCCAGTAATTGCCTTTCTTCTGATTAAAGCAGTTCCTGAACACCTTCCTAGGCACAGGAAAGCAGGGAAGGAAAGGCCTCAGGGTTACCAGCACAATCCACTCTGCTGAGCCCAGAGCAGCAAAGCAGGCAGTTCAATCAAGTGCAAACAATCATTTCTAATCAACAATTGAGTTTTCCCCCCCTCCGACCCTTGGCTCCACCACAGAACAAAGCCAGCTCCCTTGGGAGGCTCTGTCATGGTCTTGCAGGACTGTCTGGACTATTTTTAGTCAAATCCAGCATTCCTAAAAATCCTCAGGCTGCTTTTGTGCTCAGGAAGGGGAGAGGAACTGCTGTGCATGTGCACTTCCACATTCCACTCAGGACACAGGAGTGGGAGCAGGGAGGCACAGCTGGGTCAGCACAGAGCCCTGGGAAAAGGGCAAAAATCTTCTTTTCATCGGGCTGAGAAGGCAGGAAGTGAAGGCAGGACTGTCCTGAGCTGGGAGGGGGAAACCAAAGGTGTCTGCAGTGCTTGGGAGGCCAGAGAGATCCAAGGGCTGGGTGGTGTCCCCTTTGGGGTTTATGGCACCATTTGCACAATGTTTTGGATTATTATGGTTTTGTTCACTCAAAAAAACCCCAAAAAACCCAATCATGAGATTGACTAAAATCTTTTATAACAAATACAGGAGGATTTCTTGGGCACTGCTGGTAGCTCACAGGACTCCAGAATCACCTTTCCAAATCTTTCCAGCAATTCCATGGCATTAAATTAAGCAGGTAATTAATTGTGTAAGTACGCTCTGCAACAGCAATCGAAGAATGGCATTGAGACACCAATCCAAGCACTCATAAAGCAGAGAACAGCCTGGAATCTGGCTGCCTGTTCTTTCTGCAGAGCTTTGTGCCTGGTAACACCATCAGGCTCTATAAATGCTGACTGTTCCTCCCTGAGACAGCTGCCTTGCCCAGAGTGGAGGATGCCCCACAAAGGGAGCAGCTATTCAGAGTTATCCTCATTCATCTGTGCCTCATTTGTCATTCCAGCCCTGCTCTAGAACCACAAACTCCTTCCCAGGCCTTTTCCCATTCCCCTCACTGCTGCAGGGAGTCAGTCTGGGCTCCCCAAAACCTGCATGTCAGCTTGGAGTCCTCTGCATCCCTGTATTTCCAGTGGTGAGAATCCCCTTTTTCTCTCCTAGAAGTGTTTCCTTTTTTCCCAATTAGATACAAAAACCCCTGCAGAGGGGACTTTTTCATCTGGCCACCCCCCTCACAAGGCCCTGCTTATTTATCCACTGCTGCCTGAGGACTTTGCCTCTGTCAAAGAAAAGTAAATTCATTAATTTCTTTCCTCCAGCATGTTCTCAGAATCACAGAGTCACAGAATGCCCTGAGTGGGAAGGAACCCACAAGGATCATCCAAGTTCAGTTCCTTCTCCTGTCCCCTTCATTCATCCCACTTAGGCGACCCCCCCTTCCCAAACTGCTTCATCTCCTCCCTCCCTCTTTGCATTTTCCATCTAAACTTCCCTTCCTCTTCCTGTCCCCCTCCCCAAACCCGAATAAACGCAGGTTCTTGTCCCCTAAGAGAGGCTGATTCATGGTTTGACGTCAGCAGGAGCTCTCGTGGCCAGAGCCTGCAGTAAATGACACAATCCAGCTGCTGCCAGCAGCACGTGTGTCCCCTGTCCCCTGTCCCACCCCAGCCAGGGCTGGCAGCAGGGAGGGAACCTCCAGAGATGGAAAGGGAGATACTGAATTTAACAATTTAACCAGTTCTTCCTCCTCAGTGCTGGGATTCACTCAGGGGGGTGCAGACAAGTGAGGGAAGAGAGGCAGGATAAAAAAACCATCTTGGCTCAGGGTTTGGGTTTGATCTGGAGCACTGAAGGAGGAAAAAAAGGCAATTCTAGGAGTAGCTTCAGAGCAAGGTGTTTGTCCTGCCACTGTCAGTCACTCCTGCCCCTTCCTTCTGGAATGTTCTGCCCACCTGGGCTCAGGTGGCAGCTGTGGAGTGCTCTGTGCAGCCTGACACTGCTGGGGCTGTTCCAGCTCTGCCTCCCTGGCTCCAGCAGCTCCTGGGAGCTGGAGGCAGCAGCAGCCAAAGCCCAGCAGAGTTTTTCGTGCACTCTGACACCTGTGAAGGTGGGAAGGACAAACCTGTGGTTACAGAGAATACAGAACTTTATTCATGTTAAATGCATCCACTTGCATGGCTGCTCGTTGTCCAGGACACAGCCTGGTCTGACCTCACAGAAGTGGAGCCATCACTCTGCTCTCCCTGAATGCCACATCAGCAAAGCTGGCAAAGCAATCCAGAGGGGCTTTGGTCAGCACAAACTACACAGAGAACTTCTCTTCACTGGCCTGGGCAGGTCTGCACAGCAAATCATCTACACAGGGACAAAAGGACTCCAGAAGACAGACAGCTGGAGTTCAAGTGGCTCCAACACCCACACCAGTCAAGCCCAAGATGTTTGGTATTTGGACACTGGAGTCTGGGTTCCAATCCCTCTCCCAGTATTATCCATTTGGTTGTTTAAATGACAAGCAAACTCCAGCACCAGTCCCTGTGAAGGATAAGCAGCTTTTGCCAACAGCAACAGTGGCACGGGGAAGGCTGGCTCGGGGAGGAGGAGTTTGTTTGTGGGGAAGTGAGCTTGGCCAGGCTGACAGGGAGCTGTGGAGGTGGAAATCCCTTCCTGCAGCTGCTGCTTTCCCTCTCATCACTTTATTTACTGCAGGACCACTGGTTTGGAAGCATTTCTGATGGACAGAGAGCAAAAGGAGAATTTAATGATGGTCTATGTGCAAAGGTAACCCAACAATAACCACAGTCTCATGGAAAGCTAAAATAAATTCTAGAAAACACTTAGAGAAAAAACAAATATCTGCAGCTGAAACCAGCTCATCTATTTTTGGAAAATTGCAAGGATTGCCTCGCCCAGCAAGAGCGGAATTATGCAACCCTGAGAGGAAAAAATCCCATAAATCCCAAGTTCTTTTCAATTCCTTTTGGTCATTTCCAGGCTGGAACCCCCCAACCCCAAACTGGAGAACCTGCAACACCTCGAGGCCGGAAAAAATCCCGGGAGGAAAAAAACAAATCCCATAAATCCCAAGTTCTTTTCAATTCCTTTTGGTCAATTCCAGGCTGGAACCCCCAAACCCCAAACTGGAGAACCTGCAACACCTCGAGGGCAGAAAAAATCCTGGGAGGAAAACAAAAAATGCCATAAATCCCAAGTTCTTTTCAATTCCTTTTGATCAATTCCAGGCTGGAACCCCCAAACTGGAGAACCTGCCACACCTCGAGGCCGGAAAAAATCCCGGGAGGAAAAAAACAAAAAGCCATAAACCCCAAGTTCTTTTCAATTCCTTTTGGTCAGTTCCAGGCTGGACTGGCCTGGGCAGGTCTGCACAGCAAATCATCTACACAGGGACAAAAGGACTCCAGAAGACAGACAGCTGGAGTTCAAGTGGCTCCAACACCCACACCAGTCAAGCCCAAGATGTTTGGTATTTGGACACTGGAGTCTGGGTTCCAATCCCTCTCCCAGTATTATCCATTTGGTTGTTTAAATGACAAGCAAACTCCAGCACCAGTCCCTGTGAAGGATAAGCAGCTTTTGCCAACAGCAACAGTGGCACGGGGAAGGCTGGCTCGGGGAGGAGGAGTTTGTTTGTGGGGAAGTGAGCTTGGCCAGGCTGACAGGGAGCTGTGGAGGTGGAAATCCCTTCCTGCAGGTGCTGCTTTCCCTCTCATCACTTTATTTACTGCAGGACCACTGGTTTGGAAGCATTTCTGATGGACAGAGAGCAAAAGGAGAATTTAATGATGGTCTATGTGCAAAGGTAACCCAACAATAACCACAGTCTCATGGAAAGCTAAAATAAATTCTAGAAAACACTTAGAGAAAAAACAAATATCTGCAGCTGAAACCAGCTCATCTATTTTTGGAAAATTGCAAGGATTGCCTCGCCCAGCAAGAGCGGAATTATGCAACCCCAAGAGGAAAAAATCCCATAAATCCCAAGTTCTTTTCAATTCCTTTTGGTCAATTCCAGGCTGGAACCCCCAAACCCCAAACTGGAGAACCTGCAACACCTCGAGGCCGGAAAAATCCCGGGAGGAAAAAAACAAAATCCCATAAATCCCAAGTTCTTTTCAATTCCTTTTGGTCAATTCCAGGCTGGAACCCCCAAACCCCAAAGTGGAGAACCTGCAACACCTCGAGGCCGGAAAAATCCCGGGAGGAAAAAAACAAAATCCCATAAATCCCAAGTTCTTTTCAATTCCTTTTGGTCAATTCCAGGCTGGAACCCCCAAACCCCAAACTGGAGAACCTGCAACACCTCGAGGCCGGGACTCGGCGCCGCCCAGGGACGCTCAGCCGTGCCCCGCCAGCACCCGGGGGAACTACCAGCTGTGAGCAGCCTAATTAGAGCGGGGTTAATGAACAGTTCAGTCGTCGAAGTCGGGGATGTCGTCGTAGGAGTAGCCCCGGTAGCCCTTGGAGGCGTAGTAGGCGATGCGCAGGTGGTAGAAGCCGGGCAGGAACACCAGGATGCCGATGATGAGCACGGGGATGGCGCGCTCGGTCTCCTGCAGGGACACAGCAGCACAGGGCAGCAGTGCAGCAGTGCAGCAGTGCAGCAGTGCAGGGCACCCTCGGCACGGGAAATGAGTGAAAGGATTGGGGTGTGACTCTCGTTTGGAATGCTGAACGCTGGCTTTGTTAAAGCTGTCCTGTGTTACATCACAACTGTACTAAAGGCAGATACTGCATTATACTGTATCATACTAAGTGAAAAACTCAGTCTGCAGACTGACAGTCCACACAGCTTGGACCTGATAGGTTAATTAACATCAACAATCCCCACCAGAATCTAATTACTAAATTCTGTCAGGTAGACAATCTTCCCAACGCATTCTACGCGTACAAGCAGAGATAAAAATTGTTTTCCCTCTGTGCTTCTCCAGGAAAAAACCTGAGAGAGAGAATCATGTCTGCCTCAGTTCAGAGAGTGTGAATGGCACACCTCGGGGTTCAGCTTTTATGTTTTCCAGCTTCTGTGCTGTTTTAGTGTGCAGTCCTGAGCTTCGTGTTAAGTGTTGTGAGCTCTCTTCTCAGGGTAGGGAGACAAAACAATTCCTTCTCTAGCTGGGGATTAAGGACAACCACCCAAATCTCACCCAAGAGCACAAACAATGGTGGAATGAAGAGGGGAAAACAAGGAGGATGGGACTTCATAATAACCTAGATCTGTAATTGGACAATTAACTGCAATATGCAAATGGAGCAGAACTGATCAAAGTGACAGACCCCGTGACAGGTCATGCATTTTGTGCCCAGTTTGGTTCACCTTGGGTTCATTTTGTGCCCATTTTGGTTCACCTTGGGTTCATTTTGTGCCCATTTTGGTTCACCTTGGGTTCATTTTGTGCCCATTTTGGTTCACCTTGGGTTCATTTTGTGCCCATTTTGGTTCACCTTGGGTTCATTTTGTGCCCATTTTGGTTCACCTTGGGTTCATTTTGTGCCCATTTTGGTTCACCTTGGGTTCATTTTGTGCCCATTTTGGTTCACCTTGGGTTCATTTTGTGCCCATTTTGGTTCACCTTGGGTTCATTTTGGGATCATTTTGGTTCACCTTGGGTGCAGCCCTGGCTGGGCTCTTGTGCTGCCCAAGGTGGATCCATTGAGGAGATCTTTTTCATAAATCCCTGCTTTATTCTGTAACCCTGCTCTAGCTCAGCCTTCCCAAAGCACCACAGTGACATCTCTGAGAGGGGCTCTCCTCCCTCTCACACCCTGCCTGGTCTAGGGGAAGGTTACCCTGCCCAGGGCAGGTGAGATGTGAATGAATTCAGAGAATGAGGTGATCTGGAAGGTTCTCTGAACCCAAACCATCCCGTGGTTCTGTGATCCAGCCCCAAGGCCTGGCGAGCTGAGAAATAAAAGCCCATCTTCCACCAGAAACATCTCATCTGTCACCAGGCTGAGCCCTTATCCTGGCCTCTCCTCCTTGCTCGAGGGACCCCATCCTTCAGCAGGGACCCCCTGGATGTGCAGCCAGGGCTGGGAGCTGCGAGCACAAGCCCAGGGATCTGTGCCTGGAGCTCTGCTGATAGCCCCAGAGGCTGCTGCTGCTGCCAGAGATAAGGCAGAGCTGCCAACCCCCCTGAGCCCACAGGGAGCAGGGGCAGAAGCACCCAGAGCTGCAGGAGCAGATCCCCTGCCCAGGAATCACCCACAGCCAGATGGGGAAGTGTTGCTGTGCCCCACACAGGGTCTGGCAGCTCCTCCCTGTCCCTGCACGGGCTGAGATCTCTCCAGGACAGGGTTGTGACCTCCCCAGGGACACTCAGCCCTCCTTGGAGACGCCCAAGGTGGCCGTGGTGGGAATCCATTCCCTGCTCACTCCCCGTGGCTCTGAAGTTCTACACTGAACCCACCACAGGATCCTTGAGGCTGGAGAAGACCTTCAAGGCCATCAAGTCCAACCAAGCCCCAGCAGCACCCCCAGGGTCACCCCTAGCCACGTGCTGGAGTGCCACATCCCCGTGTTCTGAACCCTCCCAGGGATGGGGACTGCAGCACTGCAGCTGTGCCAGGCCCTCCCCACCCTTCCCACATCAAACCTTGCCTCATTTTGAACTGAAACCTCTGCTGGTGTGCCTTGAGGCTGTTTGCTGTGCCCTGATGGGCAGAGAGGGCTCGGGGCAGTGCAGAAGCAGCCCCAGGAATGTCTGAAGCACTCACCCCTTTGCTGATGTACCCTGCCAGCAGCAGGGCTCCGATGATGATGAGGAAGGTCCCGATCATGAAGAGCACCACAGCCAGTGCGATGGCCTTGTAGGGGATTTTGGGTGGGCTCTTCTTGAACTGGATGGAAAAACCCAAATGTTGAACAGCTGAAGTAGGCACAGCTCCCCTCCCACGACAGCTGGCACAAAATCCTGCTCCAGAACTGCCCTCCAGGAGGAATCCTGCCCTTGGGGCCCTGCTGAGCCAGCCCCTACTCCCAGTCTTGTTCCCAGGGAGGCTCTTTGACCTTTCCAGAGGGGAAGGGCTGAGGTTTGGCTCCCTCCTGGCTTTGTCCCTCTCTGAGCTGCAGCTGCTCCACCAGAGATGCCCAAGAAGCAGCTGCCTGTGGCTGCCCACCCTCGAGGTTTCACAGCCTCCTTCCCCAGTTTTACCTGCAGGTCAATGTATCCATCGTCGGTGCTGGAGAGTTTGGAATATTTGACTTTGCTGCTGGGGATCCCAGCGGAGAGATTGGTCCTGGATGGCATCATTCCAGGGGGGGCTGGTGTTCAGCTACAGCCTGGGAGCCAGGACCAGGAGAAAATCAGGAGAGGAGACAGAGATGGCAGTCTGAGAGACAGAACTCAAGTTGCAGAGGAGAAACTCCCCTGTCGAGGCTGTGCCACCTTTGTAAATTAAAACTTTTCCCACAGAGGAGCTGAGCATTTCATTTGAAAGCTGAAATACCAAATGGACAGAGCTGCAACAATGTTTGGAGTCAAGGTAGAACCTGTGCTTCAAAGCAGATGGAAATTCCAGGGCAGGGCCCAGGAATGACCCGGCTCTCACAGATGTCCAAGCTCTGGCTGTTTCTGAACAGGACCCCAGCAAATAAACCCCAAACCAGAGCTGAACAAAGCAGCTTTGCAACCACCAGATTTTGCAAGGGAGCAATTTGGGGGAAAAAAAAAATAACCCAAAGAACCAAAGAAACACAAAAAGCAAACCACTGGAAACTGGAAGGAGATGGAGCTGCCATGGGGCCAGCAGGAGCAGGACAAGGAGTGTGAGTGGTGAGGTCACCGCTCAGGGGTGCAGAGCAGGCTGCCAGTGGCAGGGGGACAGCCTGGGGACAGGGAGCAGGGCCAGCTGCTGTCCCTCAGAGCTGCCCAGGGAGCCATCCTGCCAAGCTCCCCGTGCCCCTGTCCCAGCAGGACACACATTATTCCCAGGGGACAGGCAGGGAAGGGCTCCCCGCGCCTCCCAAAGCCTCAGTGCAGCTTTTATTTTCTGAGAAAGCCTGCAACCAAGGGAACAAAAGTAGATATTCCTGCAGTGCCAACAGGAAGGGATAAAAATTCTGTTTCCACAACATTCTTTATCGTCAGAGGTGATGCATCCACTCAAATGTTGAGTCTCCATTGAACTGAAGCCCTTTGTCACTAATTGCTGGCACGTTCCCCACCCAGCTTCGTTCCTCCTGCTGTAAAATTGACTTTTATAAAATCCCCTCTGATCTGAAATTTCCACCACTGAACCTTTGGTTTGAACTTTGGGCTTTTGTTTTAGTGGCAAAACCCAAACATGGACAAAACACTTTTGGCCCTGTGGATAATGGAAACACCTGCAGGGTGGCATTTCCTTCTCCCCACACATCCTTGTTGACCCAAACACCCCCAGGCTCGAGGGCAGATGCACAAGAGGGGAAAAAGCCAGAATAACCCAAGCTTTCTGAAAGGTGCCAGATTTCCCAGCTGTGCCCCATTTTTTGCTCTCTTTTCTTACCCACCGGCCCATTATTTACCAGGCTTCTTCTGAATTATTCCCATTTTACACTTGCACAGGCTGTCCTGTGCTCCCCATGCCTCACTTAGCAACAAAAAGAGGCTGTTGAGGATAAACGTGTATAAAATATAAATATAAAATATTCTCTCTGATCTCAAGCTTAAAGGCCAGGTTCAACTCCACTGAGCTTCACACCAAGTGAGCACCACAAAGGTTCAAGAGCAGGAAGCAGCACAGTGCTGTGCTTTTTGGGAGCCACAGAAACAATCGGGGCCTTGGCCGAAACAATTAATGCTGGAATTCGAAATTTCTGCCGCGGCAAGTTGTGCTTTAAAGGCCGAGGAGGCGCCGGGAAACCCAAACACCCAAACCCGGCGGCTCCGTCGGGAATTCCCGCAGGCCCAGCCCCGCATGGCCCGGCAGGTCGGGAGGGGCGGGATGCGGGTGGGGCAGCGGGGACAGCCGGGGACAGCCGGGGGACAGCCGGGGGACATCCAGGGGACAGCCGGGGACATCCAGGGGACAGCCGGGGACAGCCGGAATGGGGGGTCCCCGCCTCGCATGGTTCCCAAACCCACCCCAAATCCACCCGAAACACCCCAAAATCCACCCAGAACGTACCAAAGGCACCCCAAATCCACCCAAAACACACCAAATCCACCCTGAATACCCCGGGACCCTCCTAAACCTACTCCAAACTCACCCAAAATCCATCCAAAACACCCCAAATCCACCCCGAATACACCAAATCCACTCCAAATCCACCTAAATGCGCCCCAAATCCACCCAGAACACACCAAATCCACCCCGAATACACCGGGACCCTCCTAAACCTATTCCAAACTCACCCAAAATCCACCGAAACACCCCAAATCCACCTGAAGCCACTTAAACGCACCTAAAAGCACCCAAACCACCCTAAATCCACCCCGAATTACCGGAACCCGCTCGAACCCACCGCAACCCGTCCAAATTCTCCCAAACCCGTCCCGAACCCACCTAAACCACCCCAAATCCACCGGAACCCACCCAAACTCCACCCAAACCCACCCCAAATCCACCTAAACCCACCCCAAATTCACTTAAACCCACCCAAACCCCCCCCGAACCCTCACCCCAAACCCACCCCGAATCCACCTAAACCCACCCAAAACCCACCCCG